CGGGTCTAGGCCTGAAACATCAGCCTTCCTGCTCCTCTGATGCTGCTTGGCCTGCTGTGTTCATCCAGCTCTACATTCCATAATCTAGCTTTGTTCCTTTTTCTGTCATGTTAGCATCATTTGTCCAATAATTTGAGCATTATATAAATTTAATTGTGAATTAATTTCAGTGTGGTTTTCTAACTTGCGCGGACTGAATAATGTTCATTTTAACTTCTTGATATGCCTTGAAGATTATTCATTTAATATTATAGAATTGTAATAAAGCTTCCACTCTTGGTTAAAACAACATGTTGCCAACTTGTGCAAACCTGAAGGTTCTGAGTTCAATTTCATTTTGCACTGAGGTAATTGATCTCAGGAACAGTAGGGGCATGACAATTTACCTCAGCCCCATGGGACTGAGAAGAAGAAAATCATTAAAATAGTTTTTGCTCTTCATTGCAGGCAGAAGATCAGTCCAGCTCCTTGTTTCCCAATTGTGCAGCATTGTTTTCTTTTGCGAGTTCTCTAATTGGAGTTGATTTATTCGAATATTCAGTCTTGTGGAGGCTATTTGCTTCTGCTACCTTGATGGGTTGGCCAATTTTTACTTGGGAATCTTAGACTGAGTACAAGCAGGATATCCAATTGTGACAGCATCACCACTAAAATACAATGTGGTCCTGATACAACTTAAATTTTAAAACAGAGGCCACTGGACTGTGATCGGGAGCAAGGACCATTATTAATGACTTTTTTCCTGCACAGTCCCAGGACCTAGAAATGGATTTTCTTACTCCTGCTGTCAGCCAACTGAAATCAACTAACTAGGCATGAATTAAAAATGAATAAGGAACATACTACTTTGTATGACTTGAGTGCCGACATTTTTAACCTACAATATCATGGTTAATGTAACAATATTTTTGTCGTCCCCAGTTGAGTCCTAAGTTTCATTTGCCTGGATGATTCTTGGATTTATTATGAGATATCTGTGCCCTCTATTCCTTTTATATTTATATTCATGTTAAGATTGACATTGCCTATCTTATGACCCTAGTTTCTGTACTCAGCAATTTGTCTATATGCTTGCAGTTCTATCTCTGTTTTGCTTTTATAACATACATCTAGTAATGTGATTTCCCTTTTTGTCCCTTAGTTTATGCAACATGGCTGCGACTGATACTCCTTCTAGGACATACTATCTCTATTTTGTCTGTTTCCTCAGGTTCAGTGTCCACAATATTCTTTTGCTCTTTATTGGAAGCGCTCTGAGATGTCTTACTGTGTGTGTGTGTAAAGTGTTACATTGAAGTAACTAATTATTGTTTCATCCTTTCGCTTGTATTTCAGTTATGATTTTTTTGTTTATTTTACAATTCTAAGCAACTGTGACCAGAAGGCCAATGCGCATTGCGATGCCTTGCACACTATAAGGTGCGTCAACACACATTTCTTCAATTTATTGCAGGAAAACAACATTATAAAGCACATAATAACTGAAATTGCACATTGTGATGGATTTGCTTCCTGAGGCACTGTATTTAGCTCTTTCTTACTTACCTCACCATTGAAATAGCAAAATATGGTGGCCACTAACAAACCCTGTGGGGAAATAAATTTTCATAAATTAATTTAAGCACAAAATATGTTAAGATGAAGTAATGGAAATCAAAATACCAACAGCTTGAACTTGCAAAACACCTTGAACATCGTAAAACAGCCCAAAGTATTTATTGCCCCAATACTGCCCTGGAAGACACACCAAAATCTCATAATATTTTGATATGTGATGTTCAGAAACTTTACAATCAATCATAAAGCAAACATACTCTCTGACTTCTTTAATGGTTTCACTGTTTTCTGACGCAGCAGAGTAAAAGAATTTGTGAAACTATGTTGTCAACCTATATATTGACAATAAGATACCAAATATGCTAGTCTGGTAGTCAGTGAAAAATAAACGTGCAGATGTTACTGGACAAATATACCATTGCCAATCATTTGTCGACCCAGTAGAAAATTTGAGATATTTTGTTTTTCAATAGGAAAGGCTTGATAGCAAAAACAACCTCTATTGAGGGCTAAACCATATGTACAGGCATTGGAAAATCATGGCTGCACTCTGTTGAAGAATCCATGAAAATCCTGTTTTCCCTGCAAAATAACATAGCTCTTCCCTGCCGAGAATTATCCATGTTAAGCTCTTCAACTAGTTTCTTAGCACTGTTTCCACTTTATCTCTCTCATCTACTCCTTTCCCTGTTGCTCCTAGTTCCTACTGGGAATGGAATCTTACTGCATACAGGCAGGAATTCTTGTCATAATTTTGCCGAAGCAGGCAGTTCCATGCACAAAATGAACCAGTGTCTTAAGGAAGAAGGCTGGAGTAGTAGGAAGGTGAAAATTGGGGACTGACTCTGCAGACTAAAATGGGAATTGAAAAGAAAAAGCAAGGAAAAGGAAGGGAATGTGCAATGTGAGCATGTGGAAAGGTAAGAGTTGCACTGTGGCTCAAATATGTTGCAAGATTTTAATTAAGGCTAACCTAACATAAATTACACATTACTAGGGGTACTTAAATTGCATTCAGTGAAATGAAGACATTTATTTAGGAAAAACAGTAGCAAACCTGGTAATGCACAAATATGTGCATAATGTAGTCATAAATTTCGCCAGCAAGTCTGTTTTCTGGTCTCCAAGGGATAATGACAAACTGAATTCCCAGCAGTGGCACAAGTATTAAAGTTGCTCGAACAGCCTTCATGTACATATTGCTTTCAGTACGGTGGGTATCTCTTAGCTTTGTAACCAGGACACGGACTATGTTGAGCAAGAAGAAAAGGTTCACCTATGAACGACATGGAAACAATGTTATTAGAGTCAAATAATGATGAAGTGTAATATAAATCCAGATAGCAGACTTAGATTTTGACTGAGGCTGTTTAATTGCTCACAAAAAATACACAGATTGGTTTTTTATCTGAAGGAGATTTTACAGAAACAGTGATATTGAACTACAAAACGTGTGATACAAGTATACACGAACAGGCCATTCATGAAACTACGAAAATACGAAGGCCAGGAAAAGACCACTAGGCCCATCCATGCTTGTCCTATCTGTTAGATTGTGCAATCCCATGTTCTACTTCCCTTAAACACTGATAATGCCAGCTCCTGAGAAAACGCCACAGAAAGCAAACAAAACTGATTTTCTCATGTCGCTGAGATAATCAATCAAGCTCCAGAGAACTGAAGTTATTGACAACAAACTAGTACATAAGTTCAACTAAATTACACATACACGCTTATCTAATCCTATCAGAGAAAGTTATAAATTGGTCATGCTTTTGAGCGCAAGGCAGTAAAAATATTAATTAGATGTAATTAAACCTAAATTGTGACAATTACAGTAAAGGAAGACTTAATTTTATATAACATCTTACATGACCGCAGGACATTTCAGAACACTTTAAAGCTAATGAAATACTTTAAGAAGGGTAGGTACTGTAGATATATTGGAAACATGGCAACCAATTCATGTACAGCAAGCTTCCGTGAACAGCAATCAATAATGACAGGTAATCTGTTTTGTAGTGTCAATTGAGGAATTAAATATTGATCAGAGCATCAACAGTAACTCTCTCACTCTCTGAATGAGGTGAGAAATTTTTACATGCCCTTGAAAGAGCAGACTGAACCTTGGCTGTCTTTTGAAAGACAGTTAACATCTCCAACAATGTAGCATTCCCTCAGCATTGTGCTGGAGTGTCTGCTTAAGATTTTTGTGCTCAGGTCTCCAAAGTGCAACTTGAAATCACAATCCTGTGAATTAGAGGCAAACTTGCTATCAACTGAACCACAGCCAACATTATGAATAATGTATAAATTGACTCAACAGTACAGTCTTTGGAGAAGTTTTGCAAAACTATCCCTCAATTAACTTACTGTTTGGGATAGAACAGATGACATCCATAATGCATGTACATTGTGCACAATTTTCGGGGTGAACTTGAACAGACAGAATGGACCTTGTTTATATTTTTACAAATGATTTCTGATTGATTATGGACTACATCATAGTTAAAGTTGCATTAAAACCTTTTCATGGTTAATGATGAGTTACTACATTAAACAAAAATACCTGAATAAAATTACAACTTTAAAATGAAAATACAACTTTATCACTGAGCAAACATTTGAAGTAAATTCATTTGGACGTGGACAGGGATTTGATGCGAGATAAACCACTGATTTTGAGTGAAGCAGAAGCAAGTGGTGTGTCCATTCCCACTGATCCTGTAGTCCCACCATGATTAAACACTGCACATACAATTAACGACTAAATAGCAGGCAAATAGGAGGCCATATTGGGGAAAGTGCTGATTAAGGAACTCTCTCACTAACAGCGGTGTCAATGCATCATTTACATCAAAAGGACTGCAGCAGTTCAAGAAGGCAGCTTACCACCACCTTCTCAAGGACAGCTACGGATGGGCAGTAAATGGTGACTCAGCCGACTTTGCCCACATCCTATGAATGAAAAAGCCAGCAATAAAGGAATGAAACTCAGCACAAACAGCATCACAATATGTTGCAATTATACTATTAAAGACAATCAGGCTAAAAATTAGAATTAAGAATCCCTACATTGTGGAAACAGGCCCATTAGCCCAACAAGTCCACACCAACTCACCCATCCCTGAACACTACAAGCAATTTAGCATGGCCAATCCACCTAGCCTGCACTTTGGACTGTAGGAGGAAACCCACACAGACACAGGGAGAATGTGCAAACTCCATATAGGAGTTGCCCAAGGATGGAATTGAACCCAGGTCCCTGGTGCTGTGAGGCAGTAGTGCTGACCACTGAGCCACCATGTTGCAGCAGTAAGAGAAGTTTGGAAATCTGGTGAATTATGTAACAAATTGTATTTGGCAACAGATCAATTTTTCAAATATTTACAAAGGCTACTCAGGTAGTTTAACTGTGTAGAAATTGCACCATTTACACAAAATTTGAATCAGCTACATTAACAAGCATAAAGATAAGATTTTTTTCTATTAATTTGTGGGATGTGGGCATCACTGGCTGGCCAGGATTTCTTACCCATCCCTTGTTGCCCTTGAGAAGGTGGTGGTGAGCTGCTTTCTTGAACCGTGCTGTGCGTTGACCCATAAGACCATAAGACATAGGAGCAGAAATTAGGCCATTCAGCTCACCGAGTCTGCTCTGCCATTCAATCATGGCTGATAAGTTCCTCAACCCCATTCTCCCACTTACTCCCCGTAACCCTTGATCCCCTTGATAATCAAGAAACTATCTATCTCAGTCTTAAATGTACTCAATGACCTGGCCTCCACAGCTTTCTGTGGCAGTGAATTCCATAGATTCACCACTCTCTGGTTGAAGTAGTTTCTCCTCACCTCCGTTCTAAAAGGTCTTCCCTTTATTCTAAGGCTGTGCCCTTGGGTCCTAGACTCTCCTACCAATGGAAGCATCTTCCCAACATCCACTTTGTCGAGGCCATTCAGTATTCTAAAAGTTTCAATTCGATCCCCCCTCATCCATCTAAAATCCAATGAGTATGGTCCCAGAGTCCTCAAATGTTCCTTATATGTTAAGCTTTCCATTCCTGGGACCATTCTCGTGAACCTCCTCTGAACCCACTCCAGGGCCAGTACATCCTTCCTGAGATATGGGGCCCAAAAACTGTATGCAATATTCCAAATGTGGCCTGACCAGAGCCTTATAAAGCCTCAGTAGTACATCCCTGCTTTTATTTTCAAGTCCTCTCAAAATAAATGCCAACCTTGCATTTGCCTTCCTGACTACTGACTCAACCTGCAAGTTTACCTTTAGAGAATCCTGGACTAGAACTCCCAATTCTCTTTGCACTTCAGACTTCTGAATTTTCTCCCCATTTAGAAAATAGTCCATGCTTTTATTCTTCTTACCAAAGTGCATGACCTCACACTTTCCCACATTGTACTCCATCTGCCACTTCTTTGCCCACTCTGCTAACCTGTCCAAACCCTTCTGCAGCCTTGCCCCCTCCACAATACTACCTGTCCCTCCACCTACCTTAGTATCGTTGGCAAACTTAACCAGAATGCCCACAGTTCCTTCACCAAGATCATTAATGTATAAAGTGAAAAGTTGTGGTCCCAGCACTGATCTTTGTGGAACTCCACTTGTCACCAGCTGCCATCCTGAGAAAGACCCCTTTATCCCTATTCTCTGATTTCTGCAAGGCAGCCAATCTTCTATCCATGCTAGCACCTTGCCTCTATCACCATGGCCCCTTATCTTACTTAGCAGCCTCCTGTGTGGCATCTTGTCAAAAGCCTTCTTGAAGTCCAGGTAGATAACATCCATTGGCTCTGCTTGGTCTACCCTGCCCGTTACTTCCTCAAAGAATTCTAGCAGATTTGTCAGGCATGACCTCCCCTTGATGAAACCATGCTGACTTTGCCCTATTTTACTATACACTTCCAAATATTCAGCAATCTCATCCTTTACAATGGACTCCAAAATCTTACCCACAACTGAGGTTAGGCTAATCAGCCTGTAATTTTCCATCTTTTGCCTTACTCCATTTTTAAACAGGGGTGTCATGTTAGCCATTTTCCAGTCCTCTGGGACACTTCCTGACTCTCGTGATTCCTGAAAGATCACCACTAACGCTTCCACTATCTCTTCAGCTATCTCCTTTAGAACACTGGGGTGTAGTCCATCTGTTCCTGGTGGTTTGTCTACCTTCAGGCCAATCAGTTTTACTAGCACCTTTTTTTTTGGTTTGGGGCACCAGACTCAGCTCTGCCCCCTGACTCTCTTGAATTTTTGGGATATTACTCGTGTCTTCCACCGTGAAGACTGACGCGAAGTAATTATTCAGTTCCTCAGCCATTTCCTTGTTCCCCACTACCATCTCTCCATCGTCATTTTCCAGTGGACCAATGTCCACTTTTGCCTCTCTTTTGCCCTTTATATACCTAAAGAAAGTCTTACAGTCTTCATTTATATTACTGGTTAGCTTACCCTCATATTTAATCTTCTCCCTCCTTATTTCTTTTTTTGTTGCTCTCTGTTGATCTTTCTAAGCTTCCCAGTCCTCTGGTTTCCCACCGCCCTTCGCCACATTTTATGCTTTCTCTTTTGCTTTTATGCTATCCCTGACTTCCTTAGTCAGCCATGGTTGCCTCATTGTCCCTGTGCCATGCTTCTTTTTCCTAGGGATGAATTTTTGCTGTGTCTCCTGAATTACTCCCAGAAACTTCTGCCATTGCTGTTCCACTGTCTTTCCTGCTAGGTCCTCTCCCAGTGAATTCTGCCCAGCTCCTCCCTCATACCTCTGTAGTCACCTTTATTCAGCTGTAATACTGTTACCTCTGATTGTATCTTCTCCCGCTCAAATTGCAAAGTAAATTCTATCATCTTATGATCACTGCCTCCTAAGGGTTCCTTTACCTTAATCTCCCTTATCAAGTCTGCCTCATGCACAGCACTAAATCCAATATTGCCTGTTCCCTTGTGGGCTCCAGGACGAGCTGCTTCAAAAAGCCATCTCGTGGACATTCCACAAACTCCTTTTCTTGCAATCCACTACCAACATGATTTTCCCACCTGCATATTGAAATCCCTTATGATCACTGTGACTTTCCCTTTCTTACACACCTTTTCTATCTCCTGGTGCATCCTGTGCCCCAGCTCCTGACTACCGTTTGAAGGCCTGTACACAACCCTAACTATGGTTTTCTCACTTTTGCGGTTCATCAATTCTACCCACACAGATGTTACACCATCTGATCCTACTTTGTTTCTTCCTATTGATTTAATTTCATTTCTCA